GCATATCTGGAAGCATTCCCCTTAAGCTTCAGGTGAGAATCCAGTTGCACAATTTTCCCCGGGTCTCGTCGCATTGGGAGAAACCAGACGCATACCTTGGGTAGGTCGCCTTCGGCAGACGTGGGTAGGTGGAAACGCCTAGCCAGGCCGCCCACCTCGCCGCCCGCCCTCATCGTCCCCCCGTGCAGTGGACGACAGAGGAGAGGCGAGGGGGGGCTCCAGGGCAGTTCCCCCCAACCCCGCCGCACCGAAAAACAACCCACCCGCACAAATACAGACATACCTCTCTCGCTCCCAGGGTTTGGGAGGGAGGGAAAAGTGAAGAGGTGTGACGAGAGCGGCTTGAGCCCAAGTGGCCACCACATGAAAGGATCACCAGGTCAGGGCCGACCAAGTCCCGAGCGATTTATGACCGAGATTAATTAATCTCGGTCGCGAATTTTGCGAGACATCCCCAGAACTCTGGGGAGGGGAGGACGGAGGGGAAAACCTCAAGCCACCTCGCCCCTGGAACATTGTGCCACATGACAAAGGTTGTTATGCCCGCACAATTTTTCCAGGGTCTCGTCGCATTGGGAAAAACCAGACACCTACCTTGGGTAGGCCGCCTTCGGCAGACGTGGGTAAGTGGAGACGCCCAGCCAGGCCGCCCACCTCGCCGCCCGCCCTCATCGTCCCCCCGTGCAGTGGACGACAGAGGAGAGGCGAGAGGGGGGGGCCCAGGGCAGTTCCCCCCAACCCCGCCGCACCGAAAAACAACTCACCCAACGCAGCCCAGAACTCCCAACGCCGCTTCACTCAATCATTTACTCTGGGGAAACAGAGTGGGAGAAAGAGAGAGAGAGAGAGAGACGCAGAGAGAGACTCCATTCAGCAGTCCTCATCGGAGCTGGCGTCAATGACACGGGCCGCGAACGCGGCCGTGTCTACAGCTCCAGCCTCGACATACTTCAAGGCGGCACTCCCCCTCCATTCTCCAGCCTCGAGGAGCTGGGACCACGACGCTCCCCGGGCCACCAGCTCGGTGGCGCGCCCCGCGCAGAAGGCCTTGAGAGATAAGCTCGAGGGCTGAGCTACCCCTAGGAGCCCAAGCAGCCTCCTAAAATTCCCAAGAAAAGCTCCAGCACTACGATGCTGAATTTGCTGGCCTTCCACTGCTCTCGAAGCTTGGAGCCAGTTGCGATATCTGCGCGGTGCGCACCGCGATACCCCATGGGCGCACGAGCACGGCCGGCGAAGCGTGGAGCCGGATGCCCGGTGTTTCCTCCGGCGCAGCCGCAGGTGCAGGACGCTGGCTTCGCCAACGAAGACTGAACTGTGCCGCCCAGCCGGCAAAGTCAGAACAGAGCCTGCTGACCCTACCTGCAAGCACACGCATTCACTCTGCACGCGCAAGAGAAACTCCCATGCCAGAAGCATTGACACGGCAAAACTCTCATCCCCTAGCGATGCAGAGAGCGCGCACAACTGCTCCACCAAACTGCGGCGCAACTTCGGCTTCGGACATTGTTCCCCATTCAATATGATCTGCATCTTAGCCGAACCCTTCACCTGCTGCACTGCGCGCGGGCCGTGCCAGGACACGTCCACGCCTTGCTCCACGCACGCCCAATGCAGGAAGTGCAACTAGTTGCGAGCCGTTCCTGCATTCTGGAAGATGGCCAGAAACAGCAATACATGGTCCTCGCATTTCGGTGGAAGGGTGTCCTCGCTATCATACTTGAGCATACTGGGAGCAAAAGCGTGCCACTCTCGGAGTGCAGATGCCCCTGAGGCGAGGCTCCGCCGATTCGTTTCCACGCGCATGATCTGTCCTCTAGCCCTCAACACATCAGTAGTCACGCCCTGCGACCGCACAGAAGCAGCCCCCAACTGCGTGATGATGGCCCTCGGCTGGGACGAACCGAGTGCGGCTAAGCCTATCTGTCCACCGAGGGCCTGCACCTCCTTCTCCACCGCGTTCACGTGCTGCTCGGAGAGGCGGGACGCCACCGCGTCGGCAGCAGCGCACGTTGCCGAGAACGGCGGACAAACGGAAGAGCGCGACGACACTGTCGAATCAGGCAGACAAGACGTGGACACTGGCGTGGCCCTCTCGATCCGAGCTCGTTTCTGCCTCCCCTTCGCGCTTGCCCCCATGGCGGCGCGTCGAAGCAGGCCGCGCTCGAAGGGGCCCCTGCCGTAACGGGCAATGTCCTCGGGGTCGACGCCGTCCAAGTGCTGCCACGAAACCGCGCGCAACAGAGACAGAAGAGTTGCCGTCCTCCTATACTTCTGTCTGTCCGCCACCGGGGCCTCCGCGGCCCCGAGACCGTCAAGTTGCATAAACCAGGACTCCAGATCCAGAGCTGCCTGCTGGAAGCGCGACCCGGCGAGGCCCGCGAACGGCTGGTGGACACAACCTCGAAGAGACCCAGAGCGGCACGAGCGAGCCTGCGACCGCCACCCCTCCAGCAAGACATTCACGATGGCGAGGGAGGTCACGTCCAGGCGCCTCTTGAAATCCGAGTCGTTCAGGAGCACGCCCAACCCTGTTTGCAGCAACTCTTCCGGCACTGGCGGCAGCCCCTTGAGACGCTTGAGAAGTCCTGGAATGCGGTGCAAGGGGTCCCCTTCCACGAAAGCCTCCACTAGGCTGTCGCGGATCTTGGTCAATGCCTCGGCCTGCGCCCCCGGGGGCCCTGCCTGGCTGTCAGGAGGCATCCTGGGCCCCGCTCGCAGCCGGCCGCCGCCCGACGAGGAAGGACTCGAGCCGGGCCG